GTTTTTGACCAAACCTCTGTGGCAACGTAAAATTCGAAGGGTTCCGGACGAAACCTTTTTATATTTTAAAACTCTTTAAAGTCTTTTACGAAACCTTGGATATCGCGAAACCTCATGCAGGCTTCGCATTATTCTACGGATACTTATATAGTATAGTAAAACTCGACGAAACCTCAAAGGTTTCATGTGGTACCTTTTTTTTTTCAGTGTAGACTCACAAGTTTATTGTAGAACTTCAGTTCAACAAAAGTTACAAAAATCACAGCAGAAAATAAGATAGCCGCCATGAACAAGAAAAAAAACTAACGATAAATAGATAATTTACTTTTTATGTGATTTTTCTTCGCTGATCTTACTAATAAAATGCTTTCTAGGCTATCTAGTTGAAGATTTGCTCTTACTTCGTTCTAGACCTAACCAGCTGTGGAAAATTCTCTTTCCACATTTGTTATTGTTGCAATAATTGAAAATATTGATCGAGCATACTTTGAAAGATATGAAAAACTTTCTTGATGATTTTTCCAAAAATCTAACGGCTGCGTTGTTTCTTTATTTTTATCGGATTCAAACAATCGATATCGATCAAGTTCATTACCTTTTTTTTATTGTATAATCATATTCTTCGCTTTCATTTTCGCTACTGTTATTATCACTAAGCTCTTCATTGAAACGTCCAGATTCAAATCGCACAAAAAAATCGTTTTCTACTTCAAGTCTTTTTTTTCGGTGGTTCGATGAAGTGTCATTGTTGTGCTTATTTTTCACGTAGTTTTTTTTAATTTATCCTCTAATATATTGAAAGCATTGTTCTTGTACATAATTAGGTATTTTTTTCAAATCCCAAATTCAAACAGCCGGGTTTTCATTTTGCACGGTATATCTCTCACACCGCCCTGTCCTGCAATTTCCTTGGTCTACTCTGTCCCTGTTCAGAGCAGGGTAGGACAGGGCAAAGGACAAAGTAACTGTACCCTGTGGACATGTTTGTTGCATAGTATAACCAACTTAGCTTTCATAATGACAAACGTACATGATGTTGTGTTTAAATGCTCAAAAACTGCATTCCTAAGTCTAATTTTTTCTGACTATTTCATGACACTTATCAAGTAGTTCATTCAAGGCCCATTAAGAACAATATAGAAAATTATAATACTTTAAATTTATAGCTTGATATCAATGCGCTATTAATTTAAGGCATAAAAAGAAAATTCAAAAGAATTAGGTGTATTCTAGATGAAAATTATTTTTAAACTCGAAAATCATCTGTTAAAAGTAATGAATTGTTATCATTTTTAGCCGTCAACCTGTTTTGGAAATAAAGACAATCCAGATGAAAATGTGAGTTCGTATGCTAGACGGTATCCGTCGACAAATGAAAGAGTCGATTTATTTTTAATATCGTGTTTGTTATGCTTTTTGTTGTTGCATAGACTCAGGCTTGGCCATGGCGATATTTATATCATCGCGGTGCAGGTATGAAGCTATATCTTGAAGAAATGCCTCCATCATTTCATGGAAAGTCTTTCGCTGAAAGTGCCCTGTAAGTAGCGAATCTTTTGATGGGCATTCAATTATGATTATATAGAGTTTGTTTTAAACTTGGTGTGATGCTTCTTGCAATCGAAAAAGAACGAAAAGATGAATATGGTAACACAAGAATGGCCGTGGATATTGTACCATGTGATGATTGTATTATTATTCGTGGAAGTCGTGCGTTCATTGTTTGCATGTCAAGCGAAGATGCGAATCGGTACATTTAATCGTAGGCGTTTCATAGTCAACCCTACATCTTTTTTTTATAGAGTCAAATACTACTGTTCTATCTGTTATCCAATAATTGATAATCTAACAGAATTACAGTTGGCACGTATGAGGATGTGTTTTCATGGTTAGTATGAATTTTTGATTGAATAGCAGGTTACTGTATTGAGCTACGTTTATAGCACAGTCAACTGATTGGGCGCAGAACGAAGAAATACCAATAATAGATCAACCTCGTGATTCGGAGGAGAGTGGGCATTCAATTGTGTGAGTTATTTTGTATTTTTCAAATATGAAATAAAGTTTTCATTCTATTTATATGTTATAGAACTATCCACGATGCTGATGTTACTCAACCTCTGATGACACAACAGTCTGAAAGAGCAAGCACACCATGCTATCAGCGTAGTAACACGTATGTTTTGAGACGTCATTTTTTTGCTGCGTTGAACGATATTCACTATTTTTAAAATTGATACTTTGTTAAAAACCGAGTGCTACATAGGTTTTAATATGATTACGATAGGACTAAGCTATCTGGATTTTTTCCTTCCATGAGTCTTACTACTTCTATATAAGTGCTACGCTAGTTGAACACTTTGAGACTATGAGAGCTTTGTTCCTGTTACATTGATTGTTATATCTTTTTAGCTTTCTAGAAGAGGATATGTCAAGCTTTGATTCTACGGGTATGTTTTATTTTACACCATCACGTAACATACAAGATGCTGTTCTCGTATGTTGCCACTACTCAGAGACTACGAGAGTACAACATCAAAAGTATTGTTTCTTATTTTTAGGATGTAAACTCACTTCGCGAATATCATAACATTCGTCATCGACCACAAACTGTACAAGATGATGGAATACAATGTAAACATCCACTTCAATTTCGAGACCGTACGTAAGATTACTCATACACTGAAATTCAGATCCCTTACCATTGATGAAAGACATCGAAAATGTATCTTTTATAAATTTCTAGCTTACTACTAAGAAATACTTGTAGTGAAAGCAGTAATTGTCTACAGTGCGGAGTATGCCTACATGATATAATAAATTAAATGTTCCCTTGACTGTGACACTTATTTCCAACTTCTTCAGGCAAAACTGAGCGCTTGTGTGACTAAGGGCTCTACTAGTAGTGTTTCCACTTTTTTGGATGTGAAAATTAAAGCTATTAATAGGAAATATATGAGCCTGACAAAAATACATAGTTAACTAGAAAATCGTGATATTCCATCTGCATAATGTACCAAGAAGTACGTCCCTCGTAAAGGACTGGATTAAATAGGGGTTATATGAACCGCCGGACATCCACTTGTAAGTCATAGAGCTGATGAACATACTGGAGTGGCGTAATTAAGTTCACATCACTAATATTCATCCTTGCATATGACAACACATAATCGCGCACTGAACAGTACGTAATCTTGCTGTGCATCTTTTCTCTCTAGATATCTTTTTCTTTCTCCGTATCCCCTTCTCTCTCAATAACTTTTGTCTCCATGTATCTTCTTCTTTCTCTCTCTCCCTAGTATATAAACTTGCGTTCTATGTGAAATAGACAGTAGTATTAGAGCCGTAGAGAGGCAGTTCAGTTCAGTTCAATTGTAAACAAGTCGAGGTAGAATAAAGCTGTGCTTTGTAATACGTACGATTGCATTCGGTTGTATTGAAAGACAACACACAGAACTCATTTTGGACAAGAATAAACTTATTGTGTGGAATTGTTGTTAATATTATACACAGAGTGGCTAAAATATATATAGCTGATACTGATTCACACTTTTTTGTCCATCATCCTATCAGGATATATACGCAATTCTATATATCTCGATAGTTAGTTGAAGAATATTTACGCGACCTAAATATTTTTCTGTTACACATACTACAGTCTATTAGTAGAGTAATGTCTTATTAGGGCTACTTTTCGAAAATCTAAACATAGTACGGTTTAAATGAATTACCGAGCAATTTATTACTTCTGATAAATTTCTATGGCTTTTTTCTACTGGAATTCCTCGAATAATCGTATTTCAGAGCGTCACGTACAACTGAAATTCAATATTATTTAACTTGTATTCATTCATAATTTTATTTAGATGATCAGCCAAAACGGCTAACGGTCAACCAACATGATTGAAGTAGAAGTTGTTTTGTTTTCAAAACAAACTATACCATCTTGTAAAACACACTTTTCTGCATAAGAAACGCTATTTTGATTGGTTCGACAGCATAAGTAAGGCTGGAAAATATGACTGAAACTGATGACTGGTCATCAGGGTCTAGGCTTGATTTGGAAGTGCTTCTCAAAATGTAAATGAGAGACACGGAAAGAAAGGAGTAAACATGAAGTGTCATGTAGCATTTTGTAGAAAAATGTTCGCACTTTCTTTATGGCTACATCGAATTTTTCCAGATCGATGTTTTGTTTAGAAAAAATGAACTAAAAACCTTCATATTTTTCATGTCTGTGCGTTACCAAAAAGGGCTCTTAGTTTATCGCATCATGAGATTAAAACAGTTTTCTTAATTTTGATCAATGGCCTACCGTCAACTTTTTACGGGCTATCCGATGAGCCAATTGGTTTCTCTTCATCTCTTTTCTTTGACTCTGAAAATT